TTCCCCAGGATCCGCCAGTGCTTGTGTGTATGTATGTATGTATGTATTATAGAAAAATAATGTAGAGATTGAAATAATAGACAAATAATTGTGCTCACCAGCTAGAATGTTGCAATTTGTTTCATTTCCCTCCTTTGCATCAGCTCCGAAGAATCAATGTTTATCTGCAGTTACATGCAGTTACATGCACTACCGAATAAAAGTAAATTCGCGCACTTTTCACTTAAGCGAAATTCACACGGACTTACTCCACATAGTACAAAACATGCTGGGGACATCTTAGGGATATTCCAATGTCTGAGAATAGCCTCAGGACATCCTGAAGATCCAGGATGTCCCCAGGATGTTTTGTGCTATTTGGGAAGTTGCGAATTGACCACGTCACGGAATACGAAATGCAAACGTACACATTCTGTACTGCAAGTCGTACACAAATACAATTGTAACTGAACTTTGTGCGGATACATAGAGAGACTCAAGAAACAATTTGATGGTTAGAAAACCATCAAGTACGAGTACCTACACAACAACAATTATGTCTTATTCGATTCACTTTCAATAAGCTAATTTTGTGACATTCTACATCTTAGAAAAAGGATATAGCACATTTATGCAGTACACGCAACAAAATCTCTACTGTTAGAAATGTACCCGTTTCGATCCACGGTACTGCGATCGACGAAACACCGTTAATCTCGTAATAAAGAACACGTTCCGGCAATCGCCCGTTACTTTAATTGGCATTCTCGACAAAAATTCGCATTATTATGCACTTCTAAAACGGAAAATAAAGCGTTAAATATGCGTTCAATTCGCGGTACATTTTCACGTTATTCTTTCCAAACCGTTTCTGTAAGTAGTAGAAAGTACCACAGCAGACGATAGATGACGCACATAGCTTTGATATCGATCGTCGATATGTTCGTTCGCAAGGATGACTGAACCGCACAGTCATTTGGGCTTAGCAAACCCACGAACCTGAGCTCGCACACTGCGGTCATACACACACACATATACACTGTCTTATTTACATATTACACACAGTGATTAAGCGTTGTGAATTAAACAGTTTAAAAGTGTGAATTAGATTAATTTATTTTTTGACGACAGTTTGCGCTCGCGTAGCTGCTTCATATTGCGATAGCTAGATAGCCAATGGCCAGGGCTTTTTCTTTACATCTTTAAAAACCAACCAATCGTCGATATGTTTATAATATAGGCACTATTTTCTGGTTACTTTCGAATATCAACGCGCATCGTTTTCCCGCCGCCATAGCGCGCCATGATACTTTCTTTTATTTTGTCTCATTAGTTCAGAACGCAAAGCGCGAAACATTTCGGATCGCGTATTTTACTCATTAAACGAGCATAACGAGTACGAATTTTTATCGGGAGTGCTGATTAAAGTGATAAGTAATAGCTAGAATATATTATTGACTGTGAGTGTTCGTGATTTATCGTGTTTCATCGATTTCTGCCGTGAATGAAGACCGGTGTATGTAAGTCCTCACGTTTGAAGCGCTACAAAGTAACTGTACTTTTCACTTGTATGCATGCTGAAAATTCAGCTAATAGTAATTAAATCGGGTCTATTATAGTTGTGTTGTGTGCGTGTTCTTTACCTCGTGTGATCGTTAAGTAGTCGTCGTTCATTTTACTCTGGTGTGTGTGTGTGCGCAAATGTGTGTGATTTTCATATCAGTAAGTGCGTGGATTGATTTGTGTTCAATAGTGTGCGTGATTAACAATAAGTGCCAAATTGTTCATCAATTCTTCAATGGAGCTGATGCAGGTGAAACTGTGAAGGAATTTGTAGTAGATGCAGTAAACTGCAATACTCTAACTGGTAAATTGAATTATTTATTTATTACGTATTATTTATTAAAGATTTTTAAAATTATTTATTAATTATTTAAAAAATTTACTGCATGTATGTTAATTCAAATACATATTATATATTAATTTAAATGGAAATAATTAAATAATTGGCAATAATCGATATATATAAAATCTATAATAATTAAAATATTAATTCCTCTATAGGTGCAGCTGAGAGAGCGTATTTAGTTAGGGTACAACGATCGGTGAGTGAATTAATTCATTGTACTTGTATTATTATATAAAATAATGATATTAACTCCTGCCTTTATAATTGCACATTAATAAAATTAATATAAAAAGCTCTTATGCTGTGTGAAAGAGCATTTAATGTTTCAAAAATGAATGTATGTAGAAAGATATAATCATGAATTTTATTTTAATTAAAGTAATATACATAGGCAATCCAGCAGGCAAAATGTTAGCATGTTGATAGATTGACAGCAATTTTGCAAATTTGCTGAGATAGCAAATCTGAGATAGATAATCTAACATTTGGCTATCTGAGAACTTTCTTTAAAAAATAGAAAAACACTTAGACATAAGCTAAAAACGCATAATATATATAGATACAACGTCAATTTTACAAAATTTTTAAACGTCAAAATATATTTTAAAAAACGAAAAACAAATATTGCATTAAAATAAATATTCCACATCATATAAATGCAGATTCTGGATTACTTGACTTACAATACAGACAAAGAGAAATGATATATATTGCATATGTATCACGACTAAATATTAATTATGATTACCAATATTTTTAATATATATACACTTTATTACATATGTACAGAAATAATTAATTATAATTGTTGCATTAAAAGATGGTCTTTAAAGAATGTATTACAGGTCGATATTAGCTTGCTAATTTACTAGGTCGACAGTAGCTTACTCTATTTACTTCTCCTAATTTCTTTAATATAGATATTTTAACTGATTACATGGAATCCTCTATAGATTTTTATTTAATAGATATCAAAATTAAGATTTTTTAAATTCAAATTAAAACACAAGTTTGTAAACTATCGATTGACTTTTTATCTATTTTTTAGTTCTTTTTCAGTTTTTTTTCTTATTAGATCTAAAATACGTTATATTTATAAAATAATAATTTTCTTTTTGGCTTTTCCATAGTAATAGATAATAAAAAAGAAAATTAACGTAATATTTGTAACTATACAGTATGAAATATCTGGCATTATTATAATTAGAACTCTAAAAAAATTATAGTCTTCTGGAGGAGTATTCGCAATATTAAACTTGTTTTACAAATAGTAGTATCACAGGAAATATACTATGCAGTATTTTATATCTGTATATACTGCATATATGCAATACATATATTTCTTATGAGTAAAAAATTGTATAATAATTGTAGCAATTACAAATTATATATGAAATAGTTTTATTGTCTTTAATCAATCATTAATGTAGTCTAATTATATCTCAGCATTAAATTTAGATAAATTTGTTTACATACATTGATATTAATATTTCTCAAATTTTCGTGAAAGATGAAATAAACTTAATAAGTGGACGTTTAAAGTTTAGATCAGTTGGATTAAATTAGAAAATTGAATCAGTGAATTCAATTCATTCAAGTCAATGAATTAGATTAGAAATTGTTAACCCCTAGATGAAAAAATTATGACAATTTTATATAAACATAGAACATCTTATGATTGTTCTGTTCAGAAACTTGGCTAATTTTATTCAACATGTATAAATATCTCAATAGTAAAAAAGTGATGCTCTTACTTAGTTCATATAGTTAATAAGTTTATAAAATTTTGTTTTTCACATAAAACTTAGATTTCAAAAATTGAAACTTGGAAGGCAGGATAAAAATATTAATACGAGATTTTTTAAAAATATGAGAAAAAATGTGAGAAAACTAACAATATGATAACGACTTGCCAATACAAGTTAATAATACAAACTGAAACAAACATACGGTAATCGCTGATAGTATCAATATAAAAATGACGTAAATAATGTAAAAAACAAATTTGGTTAAATGGCAATTTAATTATTTAATATAATTATTTTAATAATTTTTTATATTACGATTATGATTATCTGACAAATCACATGATATTTCTGTATGTTTGTTTCGTGACAGTGCAGATCAATCACGTTTCTATAATTTAAGCGTATTCGCACATGACTGCCTTTTTTCTTCTTTTTTATCACTGACATTTAATCTACAAATAATATTGCTTATTTTATACGGATACTTCACTAGTATTTCTATCGCTAGAATTGTCGCATTTGCAAAGTTCCGTTGCTTGTCCTGTACATTTCGATAGGCAATCGTCTTTTGCTGCCTCCGGTTTTATTCCAATGTCGTAAATTTTGGTTGGGGTAAAATTTGGTGGCGGTTGTTCGTATTTGCATATCACAGCATACATATCGCCACCCAAACGAATTGCCAACCATCGATTTTTTATAACTGCTAATTTCAGACACTCACACTTCATTTTAGCGTGAAAATTCGTATGTAAAGTTCTACCCATTCCCTCGATGACTATAAGGTCTACATTGTGCTTCACCATTGCAAGACATAGATCCAAATTTAAACGACTGTAAAATGTTAAAGTAATAATTTAAAAAAATTAATATTACTTAAGTATTAAATTACAAGTTTTTATATACGAAGCAAAATAATTACGGTACTCATGTGGGACATTTTATATAAGAAAATACATACCTCAAGTCCAAACAAGGACCTGCTTGCGCGGTTTCCATCGCAATAAGCATATTATCTTCTAGAGCCTGTTTAATAACATTACAAACTTTCGCGGCATCCCGTAATGTTACGACCAATTCGGGATATGTTACATCATTCAAAGCTGGTAAAGAATTAGCGCACAATAATACCTAAAAATACATAAAGATAAAAAAAAACATAATTTCAACACAATAATTTACATTAATTATTTGATAAATTTTTAAAAACTAACTTTAGTTCCTCGTTGTAACAAATCTCGTGCAAATGGCAAAATTCCAAGAATAATATCTACACCGCTGTTATCGATAAAAATAGCGGCACATTTATGAGGTGGCCCAGTTTGTAATCTTTGTATCCAATCATCTAAATTATCCTCTAGCCATGGTCTACCTATTTCCAAAGAAAAAATCTTTTTTAAAAGTGTTCAACATATTGTAATATCAATTCAGTTTTATGACGACAATTTACCTGGAATTTTTGTTTGAGCTTCTTCGAAACCAAAATCATCGGTTTCCAATAGTTTTGCAACATCTTTTGCACCCCAATCAAATATATTGCCACTGAGAACGCCAAGAATCAGAGCTTTTATCTTCTCTGTGCCTTCCAACTTATCTAGAGCTGTTATTCGATCATGTAAATGCTTCAATGCTTCTTCGTTCTCTCTTCTCTTTTGCTGTAAACGAGACAAAATAATGGTTTGATAAATTTCATTTTGACACATTTATTTTACAAACATTAAAGAAGTATAACAGAGATTACTTACATGCAAGTATGGATCTGGAAAATCGAATTCTTTCATACAGTGTTCAATGGTATCCAGTAATATTCTAACTGTGAGCGCCCCATATGCACTATAAATAATTAAAAATGATATAACTTAAATTTTATTACGTAAATTTTAATGATTTTATCTTAATAATGAAAAAATTGTAAAAACTTACAACGGTTGTGCTTGGAGGTAGTGTAATCTGTTAATGTACTTCTCTTTAAGTTTCGATCCTCTATCCTTTGCTGTTGGACTGTGTGGTTGACTATGAATAGCTCTCGACACAAATTTATCCACAGATTCTTCAAAACATTGTAACCAATAATCTCTGTAAGCAGAAACATTTTACCATTTCTATACTCTTAATTTGATATCAATTATGTGAAAATCTCACCTAGCTTCTTTATCTTGAGCAAGATCTGTAGTGTCAGGATTATAAGATACAGGATCTTTCAATAGTGGACAGAATGTAACAGCATATTCTGCTTGATCAATTTCCAACTGATCAACTTCAATTCCGAGATCGGTCGACACAGAATCCTTAAAACCTGATGATCCGGCATAATTTTCCAACCAGCTGTACTTGTCTGATTGTTCAGTGCCGAATAAATATGCTCCGATTGCGCCAAGGTAACCTTCATGGCGAAGAAAGAGAGGCTTTACCTTACCCTAGATAGTGGATATGTGATAACAACATAAATATGTAGAACCATATAGTTAATGGACATTTCCTGCACTTGGTTTTGATTTTTATTTAATTATATAAAATAATTTTATTCAAAAAGATATAATTAGATCTGTATGTGCTAAAAAAAGAATTGTAAAATATAAAAAGAAAACAAATGTAGAGACTAACATGGGACCAATATTTAATGGAGTATGAGATGGTATGCATTGATAGCGGATGGTTACGTAGAAAATAACCACCGAAGTATACTTTGTCCATTTTGTGCACCGTTGCATATAAGCTAGCTATGTGTCCAATGTCATTGCTAATAGTAAGCAATAAACTCCTTGCAAGGTCAGCTTCAGAAAATTTTGGCTGTCCTAGAATGTTATTAAAATATTATTAAGAATATAATTAATATTTGAATATGCTAATGCATATCTAAAAATTGTTGACTATTGTAAATTATGATCTAAAAAAGAATTTTATGTATTTTTGTTTTTAAAGATTAATTTGTAAAATTATATTATTTTTAATTTGCTTATAATTAAAAAAATTTATCAAATTTAATGACTTATCAAAATAGTCGTTATTTTCTCTTAACTTTAAATATATATTTAGCCAGTGCATTTCAGACAAAGACTTTTAATATAAATTATATACATCGCTTACCACAAGCCACTGCCTTGCCAAAAGATGATGCAATAAGCTCTCCTGGTAAACCTTGGGAGGAATAATCGCCCCCATAAATATCTTTCACTAACATATCTACATTACGGTGATCCCCTCGTTCTGCAAGTTGCAGCAATTCATCAAAGCCCTAGTAGGGTGTTTTTAAAGTCATTGTTTTAATACATATATACAATTTACGTGACTCAGTGGTACTACAATCGAGTACAATCCTTTTATATAATGAAATTATTCATTTTACTATATTATTTCTGATAAATTTGTAAAAATTGAACAAAACCAAATAACGTTTATTAATGTGGAATTGTTGCAGTAAAAAAGTTGGCTGTAAATGGCTGACAAATAGATGGGGTAAAATAAAAAGGTGGCTGTAATTTTAACAAATTATATAAGTTAAATACCTTTCTTTTTGTAAGTAGTGACCCTAATCCCCAAAATGTACCTCCTCCTGTTGCTGTACCTCCAACTCTTTCAAATATTTCATCTGATTCTACCTATAAAAAAATAAAAAAGCGTTCTGAAATAAGTAAATTTATTTTCCTAAGAAAATTTATTAAAGCTCTATTACTTACTTTAAGAATACTGACGCCACTACCGATGTTAACTAGCAAGTATGGAAATATATTAGGTCCAGCTTTTTGAAATTTATATTCTGGATTTGCATGCCGATGATATTCAAATGCTTCACACGGTATATTTTTAAGTAAGAAATTGCAACCCTTTATCAGACAATCTATCTCATCTTCCTTGTCGACTCTGAAATTTTATCTTATCAGTAAACATAATTATCTCAAGAAAACTTCATATATCAAGTAAAATGTCATAAATTTGAATGCTTCACAAGGCAATGCTTGATATTAGAAAGTCAATTAATAAAAATATTTGCTTCATATGTGTTTAATATTCTTTTAAATGCATTTATAATAATGCAAATAAATATTTTTATTAATGGACTTTTTAATATCAAACATTGTCTTGTTATGTAAAGCATAAAATTATGTAAAGCTAAAATTTGTGTTTTACTTGATATATGAAGCTTTCTTAATGCTTAATATGTGTTCAATATTTTTTAAAAGCATTTTAATAATGCAAACAAAGTTCATATATAATATAAAAATGCTTACAATAATCCTAATTTGTCTTGTAGCAATGGGGTATATTTGTATGCTCCACCTCCTGTTACTTTAATACTTTTGCCATGAAATCGGTCAACATCTACTAAATTCTTCTTGACAAAGTCTAAGCAGCTCTCAATATATCTTGTCTCAAACTTAACAAAGTGCAGTCTATTACCCTCAAATACTTTATATGCTCGTTCTCCGCTATTTCCCAAACCTTCTGCATCTTCATAAAGCGCCTTACGATAACTAACTGTTGAATAATAGGCAATTTTGGTTAACGACAAGCCTGAAACATACAATATTTATTTAAATGTGAATATATATATATATATATATATATATATATATATATATATATATAAATAATGATAATTCAATCCTATATTTAATAATAAGTCCATCAAGTAATATTATGTGATTTTTATAAATATAGTATTTTCTTGACTTTACAGTCAGATCTTGTTAAATGTAGAAATATAAATATATAAATAGATTTGGTTAAAATAATGTAATATATATAATTTTTGATACTATGTATAGTTCTATGTTTGATAAAATAATTTCTAAAAAATCTTTGAGAAAAATATTATTGTGAGACATTTATATACTAACTTAAGAATTTTCTCTTCCAAGAAATGATAATAACCAACTGAAAATTGCGTAACAATAACTAGAGTATTTGCATAATTCAATACAAAAAAGAAAAATAATTTTATTATGAAAAAAGAATAACATTAAAACGATGTTACTTATAATAATATCACATTATAGCAATATTAATCATGTGCCATTTATTTATTGATGTAGAGAATAATTAAGATTTATTTCGCAGATCTCTATCTCTTATAAGTATAAGAAATCCCACGATTACAATAGCAAGTTAACCTTAAAATCAAACAAAGGATATAATTTGAAAAAAAAACTGATCAGGTGTAATTGATAACATACCAATGTCTATGGCGAATATTTGTGCATTTTTTAAATTAGCAAAGACTTCGACGGCGGGCGGTAATTTGATGCATTGCGGATGTAATTGCTCGCTGTCGATCTCCATTGCCATTTCCGTATTACGGTCGACGATCTTTTGGTTTTACAGTTGACACCTCAACGGTCTACGCGCATTTAACGATTGGCAAGTAGCGAACGTACTCACATCACGACGATCTAAGGCAGTTCAAGCGCTAGATAAATAGCCTGATATGCTACTGACACAAATATCTGATCACATCTGATTCGAATAATTTCAAGAAATTTTCGCTCTTTCTCAAGCATAGCGCGCGCATGCAGCGAGCAGCTGTTTACGTGTGTTTACCAGTAACGTATGTTTACCTGATGGCGACAAACTGCTATGTATTTAAAAATGGGTATCGGATATAGTTGTACAATAGCATACAAATAGATCCGACATACCATATAAGTTCTGTGGTACGTGTAAAACCAGAGAGAAAAAATAGAGAAGACTAGGATATCAGAGAATTTATGTTTTTTATTACGTGCGCTTTTAGTGACAAATAAGCAATTAACAATAACCATCTGAGCACATATCACATAATATGCAAATCACGTAACATAAAATAAATAATATATAATAATAATAATGTTCTAAATGTGTAAATATTATATATGAATTATTATAGGCAACAAGCCAATATTATATTTGGCAAATTTACTATTTCATTATTCATGGACGCGTATATACATACTTTTTTTTGCAAATATAATTTACACAAGTAGCTAACTATGTACAACTATACATGCAACCTATGTAACAAAAATTTAAATGCATTTAATATGGCGATATGGTGGTATAAAACAAATCTCCGAATTTTTTAATTTAAGCGAGGGAAAAGGTTTTACCAGAATAAATATTTTGTGTAATATAATTTGCTTTAAATTCTTATTATAAAATTCTTATCACAAATGCAAACAACTCAGTTCTTATAGAAATTAGTTTTGAAATAAAATCACAAGAAAATTTTATTTATATTAAATTTTATATATATATATATATATATATATATATATATATATATATATATATATATATATATATATATATATATATATATATATATATATATATATATATATATATATATATA